TCATTCTTGGCCGCCTATCGGCTGCCGTGTCTGGCAGTTCCTGCTCCAGGCCTTCCTCCTCGTCAGCTGCCACAATGTGCCCGTCGGTGAGACAGGTTGACACGCGATGCTGCCTACGCTCAAACTCACTCCTGTCCCACGCGGCTGTGAAGAATGCAGAGGTCTAAAATACCAACAGCTCAGTACAGTGGTTCATTTAACGGGTATATCTAATGGTCGCATCAATAAAGACACCGCTGTAGTTAATGACACATAATCAAGGACAATTGATCAAATGACAAATGCTGCATAAAATACTTATATTCCCGGCATTTTGAAACCAGTTTCTGTAGCCAGGTATGGATGTTTATGTCCATGCCAAAGATTTCCAAAAGACCTTTAAAATCTACCAACAACGAAAACTGAAAATAACATCTGATACAAAATGACTGGTAAGAATCCATCAGCACTACAGTGCATACATGTACATGCAAACAGCATGTCTTCACATACTTATAAAAGTACCACTCGCAGACATTACACTCTGATTCTGAAATTCACGGACTTTGATAAAGCACAGGTACCCGGTTTGTAAGTGTGACATCACTTCAGTTTAAACCACACCCACTGCACATAGAGCTATGGAACTGGAAGATAACGCCTAACCTAGGCGCACATCCAATGAAAGCTTGCAATCAGTGACGTCATGCATGCATGATGAAGTCACTTATGAACAGGAGATGGAGATAGAAGTAGACGTGCTGAAGAGCATATTTCTAACCCTCCATAGAGTTGAACACAAATACCGACGGCTTCAAGCTGGGCAGCAAGTTAGCAGTCAAGCATTCACTACTTGGAACTACAAGTTGAGTACAAATGAAGCTCACCTTCGATTTGGCGAACATCAAGATTCTCCTTGATATCTACCGTGCTGTTTGCATCTCTGGACTCCTCCGATGCATTCACGGGGATGGCTACACCATCGGTTGTTGTGATGGAAACCACAGTGTGCCGGTTCTGCATCTCATAGATCACTGCGTCATCGTCTAGCTCCAGCAAGAAATGGCGGATGCCTATCAAGAAATGAGAGCACAAAGTCTGATAGCAGACAGAATGCACGTTTGTTCAGAATAAGTGGCTCTTTGGTTTGGTTTGATTCAATCTCAGAAAAATGCAGACTAAACTCAGGAAAATTTAAAGAAATTCTTGAGCTATTTAAAGTTTACACAGGAACCTGGTTTGGTTTGGTTTGATTCAATCTCAGAAAAATGCAGACTAAACTCAGGAAAGTTTAAAGAAATTCTTGAACCGTTTAAACTTTACACAGGAACCTTCCTACATTCTCCAAAATCTGTGCAATATTAAAGCTACTTGTACATTCTTTTCACCAAAACTTCTAAACTTTCTGGTGGATTCCAAAGGATGTCGGAATGCTCAAGCTTATCATAATCAAACTTAGCAGTACTGCCTCTTTAAATTGAAAAGATCAAGAACAGTTCTCAGGTGACAGTGTCACTCAAGCAACAGAACAACTGGTTGGGATTTATGGAGGCTACCTGTATCAGAGTCTTAAATTTTTGGAAGTATTTCAAGGGTTTTGTCACACTACAAAACAAGCATCTTTGCTCTTTCTCTGAATTCTCAGCTCTTGTACACTAAGCACATACGTGTACATGTATATGTATGCTACAGAGACAGTGGTGTACTACACCATTGTACTCAGGAAAGGACATGGTTTACTTACTGATAGTATGAGTGCGGCAAACAGACAGACATACAACAGCCACCAAAAGGTTCCAAAGGAAAGAAACAATGGACAGCGTCGTTTGACTTGGGTAGCGAATGTAGCAAATTAAGGGGTTCAGCTTCACTTCCTCACAGGGTTGGGCCCCAAACTCTGAACAGTAGGAGATGTAGGCATATATGCCAATGAACAAGAGGCTAAGAACCGCCAACAGGATGGACACATTGACCTTCAGGACGGTCTTAGAGTGAAGCCGCAAGCTCTGGCGGAAGACCGGATTCGTGAAGAGCTTGAAGGCCAGGAGGTTGGCGTAGATGGTGATACAGCAAAAGCCGGCCGCCATGATGACAATGACCGAACCGTTCAGGACGTCAAACTTGGTGGAGGTGGCCTCGATGTCATAGACCACGTACCATGTGCAGGTGATGAAGTAGGTCAGGATGCAGACCAGCGTGAAGATGAACAAAACTGTGGCCAGGACGGGCTTGTCCTGCGGGTGGGTCTTGATGCCAAGGGACTTGGAGATGCAGAGCCAGAGCCACTTGGGCATGGGTGGGGACTGGCAGAGGGTAGCGCTGCTGTTGGATGGATGGAACATGTTTGCAGCTCCCTCAGCAGGAACTTCAAACAAGACAGCCTAAATAGTGAAAAAAGAATCATCACTAAACTCAAACAAATAGATCATACACAAAGTTGGGGCAGTTGAAAAAGACAGAGAATAACTTCAAATTTCTAACTCGAGTTTGTCTAAGGACAACCACTCAGTCGAATCATGCCATTTTGTTTTTCGTCCAGTTACCCGACTCAGGCTTTTTGGATTCATCAATACAAATATCCATCCAGGTCAAGGCACCAGTCTAGATTCGCTTAGGCCTATTTGTTGTTCACAGCTACATGTACCTTTGGGGCGGTCATGTACGCTGCCGTTTTACCCAAACATTTCTCTCAAAAACCAAAAGCCCTGTAATTCTCTTTTCTCTCTGATATGTAAGAGGACATCACCAACAACATGTTTAGATAAGTTACTTCGAAAAAGTAGAATTTGTTCCCTTACAACAGGAACAGGGTGCTAAAGGTAATGAACCCCCTACTACTAGTACTACTACTACTACAAGTGCTCATTTTACTAGTTGTACATGTACTGTTCAGCTATTTCAATACCAGGCCCGGCCAGGCCATGTCCCATGACGTACACTGACGTAAATCGGACCCCAAGTTTTTGGGGTGACTCGAGGCCAGAAAGTATGGATAAAGCCTTGTACCTGGAAGGATGCTGAAGATGGGAGTACTTTTTTCACTGTGTCATCGGGCTTGTTTAGTTTTTCCGGACAAAAAAACAAAAAAAATCACAGTCGTCTTCGTATCGCGACGAACGCCGCCGGCTTCCTCAACTTTTAGCCTTCCAAACCACTTTAGGCTGTTTCAGACATTCATAATTATTTCGTTTTTCGGCTCCCCGACAGTTGAATAATTTCCAACAGCAAACCTGTCATTAAATAAAAAAAATACTCATTTCACTTCCTATTCTGTCTAAAATACGTTTAAAAAAACAATTCTTGGAATTAATTTTAAAAAGAATAATAATTCACTTGGTTGAAATCAGTTCAAAGGTCAAATAGTCAGCTGTACGTGGTGTTTACGGAAGTTGTCGGAGGAGCTCCTGAGTGTGCTAGACCTACCTCAAAAAATTCGAAGTTGATTTCCATCAAATGTTTCTTTTCTTGTCAAACATTCATTTGTCTCTTGTGAAAAGATTTATATCAGTTTCTCGCCGTTCAAAAATGCCGCTGAAGTTTGCCGCCAACCTGTCTATGCTCTTCAAAGAGATTCCGGACTTAGCCGAAAGATATTCTGCAGCCAAGAGAGCAGGTTTCCAGGCTGTTGAAGTTAGCTTTCCTTATGACTCACCGGTGGAGAAGTTGGTTGAGGTTAAAGAGAGGGAAGGACTGGAACAGGTTTTAATCAACTCCTTTCCAGGTGAAATTGCCACATGTTAATTGGAAGTTGTTGTAGAATGCACCCTGTTACATCATGTCTGTGACCATGGTAACGGGATTGTGAATTTGGGGACCCCGTTCCTATAACAGAAGGGACACGTACATTTTAGATTCCCCTAGGTAGACTGTGACATCATGCTCAAAAGCTATAGGGTTGGATGTTGTGAAAAGAGGGCAGTGTTTACTCACAAATCGTGCTACCTTTGCTTTCCTTTCTTTTTTAATGCAGGTGATATGAAAGCTGGAGATCTTGGACTTGCAGCTGTACCTGGCAGAGAAAAGGAGTTTCAGGACTCTCTTGAATTGTCAATCAAATACTGTACATTGCTTCATTGCAAAAGGTTCAAATTCTGGTTGTTATTCACTCTGAAATGTGGTTCAGTGTTGCTCATACAATAAAGTGTGAAGTGTGTTTGGGTTCAGTTTCTATGGAAGAAATGTCACCAAGGATAGTTACAGTAGTTGACTGGCATATTATTTGAATCTATGGCCTCTGACCTCTGCAAAACCAAACTGGTACTCCACCAAGTGAATTTAGTCAGAACTATGTTGGCGGTCTCTCCATATTTGTCAATATCTTCATCTTTTTGTATCCTGACTTTGAGGCATGACCCCTGGCTAAATGATGGTCCAGTGACTTCTGACTAGCGCCCCTGGCCTGGGCAAAGATATTGATAATTGGGAGGGCCCACTCATTCAGGGTTTTACCACTTTAGTTGGTAGACAAAGTGGTAGAGCGCTGCTAGTCATTTTCCCTAGGTGGATTGTTTGATGATCTTTAACAAATATTTGATCCCCCTTTTGGACATGATTAGGCTTATGTTTATAATTTGTGTCCTTCCTTAATCTCCACACATTGTGTCTCCAGCGATGACACATCCAATAATGACCTTGTCAAAATTGCTACCCGATTAGAAGGGCCATCCCAATTCTTTATATTGTCACCCAAATTTTCAAATCTTTCATCTTTCTGTTTGATGCTAGCTTAAGGCCGGAAATTCCACGATCGGTAATGGCTGAATTTTATAATTAACTTGTGATGGTTCAGATGAGTGATAATTAACTGAATTTGCTCCCAAGTGCACATCATTCCATGACAAGGCCACGATAGTCTGCCCATTGCTTTAAATACAATAGTTGTAATTTAAGCCACCAATCCATTTCTACAGGATGCACGTGATGGCGGGCGTGACACCAGACTGCACAGAGGACGACAGGCCAGCCGTGCACAGAAAAATGGAGGAAACATTTATATCGAATCTCAAATATGCAGCAGACAGGCTTAGCCAGGTAAAGAAAAACCATCTGCAGAATTTCTCTAAAATTCAAAAAATAGCTGTGTAGTGTCTGAAAGTATCGTTGAAATGACACTTTTTAACTTTGCAGAAGTGATTGACAAAGAATTTCTTATGAACATTTTTTTCCTACTTAGGAAGGAATCTTGACCCTCATTGAGCCAATCAACACAGTTGTTTCCAAACCTGGCTATTTCCTCAGCAGGCAAGACCAAGGTATGCTGACTGTGTATTTTTTCACCGTCAGTTTTTTCATTGGCACTCCGCAAACTTTCTGGCCAATTCACTTTTTGTTATGCTTCACTTAAGCTCATTCATATTTCATCTTCTTTCATGGTACTTCCCTCATTCCATTACTTTTGCTTATATTGTAAGCATTGTGTGCAGAAACATTTTGGGTCAATTCTCTCTGTCAGGAGTTGATATCATCAAGAAGGTTGGCCATCCAAATTTGAAGTTGCAAATGGTGAGTTCTTGTGCCGAAATGGGTGGCTTTTTATTGCTCAAATAACTTGAAAAGTATGGTGTATGGTTATTGACTGCTATCTGTTTACTGATCTTGTTCCTTGCGCAGGGTCAGCAGACATTGCTGTCTAAAACTCTCGCCTCTGTGCTCTACTTTGTGGGTGAACTACATGTACACCCCAAAGTCAAATGGTGGGCCTTAATACATAATTCACCAAAAGGTGCCTTCTGTGTATTCGCAGTGGCATTCAAGTCTCCATCACATTTCTTAGCCTCTGCTGATGAAAGGAATTGAATGACACTGATGCATTGCATTCCGAGATTTGCTTATGCTCCGTTTTACATATTAGCATGTTATTTCACAACTTAGTGCACACGGTAGCCAAACTAGAGTTGTGAAATAGGTTGAAAGTGCATTACAAAATGTACCTCTAGCACACAGCCCTTGCACTGCGGCTTTTTTTTTTTACTTATTTAAGTCTTTTTTCGTAACTCTTGTGGATACTTTCCAGGACTTGTTCCATGTACAGATGATGCAAGGCAACATCACCAATACAATCAAAGAGTTCCTTCCCTACATTGGTAAGACTTGATAAATTAGAGAAAAAAAAAACGAAAACAAAGTGTAAGACTTTAATTGGAGGGCCGCACCAGGGGAGGGCAGTTATCTGCCAGTGAAAGTGCATTTCCAAAACTTAACATTAACCTCATCTCCCTAGATATTTTTGTTTGGAAAAAGACCTGGATTCTACAAAATCCAAAACTGTGCAGGATGGAACCCAGTGAATGCATGGGGATTTTACAGGTAGCAATTAAGTCTTTTGCAGAGTAATAGAGGCTGGAATCTTACTTCAGCATTCCTGTAAAATCTTTTACCCTTTGAATGCATTTTTTCAGGATTCAAGATCTTTTAGTTTTAAGATCTCAATATTGATCAAAAGTACATCTCCAAGAGTACATCTCCAAGAGTACATCTTCTTTGGCCACATACATGTACCTGACCATCTTCCTATTATATTGAAAAGATGGTACCTCAAAAAATTTAAGTTTTAAAGAGACATGCAGTAAGCTTTGGTAGCTAAGGGTACTTCTGCAGAGGTACTGAAAAGGGACAGGCTGAAGTAAAGTTATTGTAATGCGTGTGAAGAGTTTGAACAAAACGCTTGTCAGGGACAAGTGAAATACAGAGTCAGTCCTTATATAATGACAGAAATGATGTCCGACAGCTTCTCTTTGAAGACTGGTTTTGAATGGTCAGTGACTCTCTAAGTACTTGAGGGTCACTGCGTGAATGGCTAGGCATATATTATAATGGGTGGTCATTGTTTCCTTGGCAACGGATACCAAAAAATGAAACCTTTTCCAGCCAAAGCCAGGCTTTGACTTTGACTGACATGAAATGAATGTCAGGCAGTCAAATTGGATCACTTGTCCTTGAACCAAGACTAGCCTCGGTTCTGATTTGTGTTTCTGTATCCCAAGGCCACGTGCAAATAGCTCAGGCACCCCACCGGAATGAGCCCAGCGCAGAAGGGGAGGTGAATTATGACTTCATTTTTGCCTTCCTGGAGAGCCTGGGATATGATGGATGGATTGGTGCAGAGTATAATGCGGCTGATGGTAGGCATCTGCTGAATGCACCTTGGTTTTCTTGATGAAGTATTATTTTATTTTATCATATTCATGTTAGTAAGGAAGTTAAGAGGTAACCCTTTGAATTTCATATCCTTTTGTACTGGAATAGGTCTACTAGTTAAGATATGTATTTGATTCTTACAAAATCCAATTTTGCTTGAGGGTATTATAATGGATCCCTTGGGGGGGAGATTCTTTAAACTGAAGGACACTCAAAATTTTAACAAGTTGAATCTTACCGTGATTTTTTTTACAGGAAAAACCCAGAATTCACTACAGTGGCTACAGAAGTACAGATAATGGAAAATTGACATGCTCTTGATGCTTGCTGCACGTGACGTCACCTGTCTAGCATGAATTCACACGGAAACAACAACGCTATGCAGTGTTTTCATGGTATTTAGTTCAGTCCAGAAAACAAATGGGTAAGAATGGATTATTGAGTGGATCTGGACCCAAGAATCTCATGGAGCTGCACTGGGAAGGAAATAATGCTCAAACAATTTGAGTACATGTACTCATCAAAAACTAGTCAAGAACCAGCAACCAGAAATACACTTTGCAGTACAATTTTGCCGGTCACCCCTTTTAGGTTGTGCAAGTACTTGGCAAATCTGGGAACCCATGTAGCTGTCACAGGTGTGCATTGCATGGAATCGATTGCTTGCTGGGGAATTCCAAATGTGACAGAGCCCTGCAAAATGATTCTTAAGGCCACATTCTTTGGTAATTGTGTCAATAGTTGGCATGAGATGAGCCAATTGAACTTGATTTTTATGCATCACCCATTTTATCATCCTGATAAAAAAAAAGATATCAATGGTGAGAATGTTCAGAGTTTGTCACTGAATCCTATGATGCAAGATTTTCTTAATAATGGCCTTTGGTTTCATTTTGTTAAGTTGGTCACAAATAATCTTTTCTTACTACTTTTTATTCCATAATGCCATGAAAGTAATCACAGGATCACAGATATTTTTCATTTTTCAATGAAAGCTGCTCTGCCACATTTTATTTCTTTCCCAACAACCGATTCCCCAATATTCTGTTAACACTTGAATATTGTGTACAAACATTCACACTTGACAAACAAGGCTATGTTAAATTCATTGAGCATGTTCTTTTGATTTTATAGAAAATCATTAAATAAAAAGTTCATCTCCTAACATACAATATAGAGGCACTGATAATGTAAAAGAAACCTTTACATTACGAACATGAAGATTTCGGACATTTTGACCCACAGAGTGGTTTCAATCATTTTACGGTTCGTATCATAAAACACTAAATTCCCTAGAATCTTCAAAAGCCATTAGAAGGGGGAACGGGGGCTACTTCTCCCCAAACACCCTTGAGTTTTGTTGAGGATCATTTGGATCCCATAATTTGGTTGTGCTGTTCACAAATCCAAGTAGAATTTCAGCTTGGAAAAACCCTTCACATAACACTGATTTTTTTGGGGGGGTGGGGAGGAGAACGAGGAATCGTGGAACTTGCATGAAAAGTGGTGTGGGCAGAATGAACAGCTCAAGGTATGAGTTGATGGTACAATAAATGGAACTTCTTTTTTTCAAGATGTATTTTTTGCGTTGGGGAGATGTTAATTATATATAACGGTTTGCCCGTACCCAACGTATATTAATAAGCACTGTATGCTATAAGCTTGTGAGGTTTTTTCACAAGCTCTCGGACAAGCACTGAGCATACAGTGCTTATTAATATACGTTGGGTACGGGCAAACCGTTATATATAAATGGCACTTCTGTTATTCTGTGACGAATTATTACCAAAGCAAAATTAACAATAGTCTGCATTTTCAGAATTACACTGGCCGAGTGCCCACCTGTTATGTATTGTATTTGGGCGGTGTTTGAAGTTCGGTGATTTCTTGTTCAGATGCTATCATGCACAGAATTCCACATCAATTCCCATGCAGTAAATTGCCCTGGATTTGTCCCAGCACATGAATCACAGAGACATGTCAGGTTGTTTTCGCAGCATTTCTAAATGGGATTTGTCATACTTCAAATCATTTAACAACCCATGGATAGTAATGCATGTAGTTCATTTCTAACTTGTCCCAGGAGTGGTATTATTTTGGGCCGAAAATACTGCCTTTCTAAGAACAGCAAGGTCCCACATCCAGGGTCCTTTACCAAAATGGACTGGACATCGGTCATCATGGTCTCACTGCATCATCATGGTCTCATGTTCTGAGACCATGTCAAGCAGCCATACTTGCTGCAGCACTCAACCACGCCATATGGATGCCTGAGGGTTCCATACACTCAACCTTCACTGGCAACATGTACATTGTGTGCAATTGATGCCTACATGTTCATGTAGGCATCATCACCATGGCAATGATTCAAGTGTAAGATTGTAGATGTTCGCACACACTACTGCATACAGAGCTAAAAGGACATCCTGTAAAATTGGCACACCAAATCCCTGTATGTTTGTCATCTCATGTAACGCAAATAAACACAGCAGTGTCCATGAGGGTACTGCACACTAGGACTGGCCATACATCTAGATAAACTATGCTGGTAAATGCCCATGTCTTGGCTAAATTAACGAATGAACCATTTCTACCAATTCTGATTCAAAGGAACTTGTGGGACACATTTTCTCGTCTACATGTAATGTTTTTGTAAAATGTAATCAAAGTCGCTTTTGCAGAAATTCCAAAACTTGACACTTCTTAGTTGAATCTGTTGAATCTTTTTCTATTTTCTCTGTGCGATAACAATTCACATTATTTTAAATTTCACTTTTTTGCAAATATTTAGGGTAAACTGTAGCGTCGTTTACAATGCACAAATTACTGTAAATATAACTCATTTGATCACGTCTTTTTAGATTGTCCTTTAAAGAAACTCAAACTATAAATCTATGGGATGACCTTGGGATAGCTTGTATATTTAAAACAGAAAGTTCATACAATAAAACAGGGCTCACTGCAAGTTTATACAATAAATTTGGAAAGAAATATCAATAATCACTCAATCTGATAAATGTTGAAATATGTAAACAAACCTCTGTACATTATCTATAGTTTCTAATTCCAATATATGGATAAACACTTCTCAAACACTTTTGCAACGAAAATATTAACATTTTCTTTTAAAAACCCCAAAGAGAATTATTTACGAGTGTCGTTTGGAAAACATTTATAAACCTAGCAAGAGAATGTATTACAAAACAAATTATATAATCAACAGCAAACCATTTTTTTCAGTCACAAAGCAAAACATTTACAGAACAAAACTGCCAAAGAAATGGTATAAAAATCACACACAGGTTTAAATGCAGTTCTTTTGACAGACTTCGGCTACATGAACTACCTATATGTATCATATCTGGTTGACCTAAGAGAAAAAAAATGGAAAACTTATGTTTAATCACAAGTCAGAAAGCCACTGGCTTTCACTGAAATATCAGTTCATGAACCTTGACCTAACACTGATCAAGTAGACAGTCGTTGGATACAGAGATACTGCATGCACTTCACAAGGCAAAGTTGAAGTTAAACCCACGTATTAGAGACACAAAAAGGATTAAGGCTTGTATTTTTTTCATCTGTAAACCCCTTCGCGCCGGGACGCACCGTAAAAATCGAGATCCTGAGCCCACTTTTCAGCTATTATTCTCGGCCCACGCTTGAGCGAACACGGTGAAAGAAGGCAGACCCTGGCTCTTGTATATATGGTAATTGGCCTTTGTGTGTAGCCCAGAAATAAAAAGACCAAATTTCTATCATAATCACCAGCTTCACAATAGTCCCCACTTTGAAAAGAGGCAACGGGAATGTGGAGGCGCATGCAACCGAACAATTCGCC